GGTCCCTAACTCACATTCATACATACACATACTAGACAGGATCCAATTAACCTACCAGCATGTCTTTGGAGTGTGGAAGGAAACCCACGCAAGCACAGGGAGAACATGAAAACTCCATGCAGGAGACACCATGATCAGGAATCGAACCCATGACCCATTTACTGTAAAGCAGACATGCTAACCACTAAGCCACTGTGCCTCCCGATACACCAATCAACTCCTGTACAACCAGCCTCTAGGAAAATTTTCACATGATCAGCACCACCGGCTATAGCTGGCAGCACTTATCAGTGTATTCTGGCAGCATAGATGTCTCTCTGCTTTCAGAACCCAATACCTCAACATAGTTACCTAGGTAGTCTGACTGAAAAAAGACAAAAGTCCATCCAGTTCAACCATTAAAGCAAATCCAGAGGAAGGCAAAAAAAACCCCAACAAAGCATAATCCTATCTGCTCCTGCAGGGGAAAAAAAATTCCTTCCTGATCCCCCCGAGAGGCAATCGGATATTCCCTGGATCAACTTTACCTATAAATGTTAGTATCCAGTTATATTCTGTGTATCCAAGAAAGAATCCAGGACTTTTTTAAAGCGATCCACTGAGCTGGCCAGAACCAACTCTTGAGGGAGTCTATTCCACATTTTCACAGCTCTTACTGTGAAGAAACCTTTCCATGTTTGGAGATTATAGGAGGGATTCCTCTATTCACATTGAATGTATGGATGTGGCAATCTAGTTTTTTCTTTTTTGTTTAACCCCAAGATTAGTGTATAGACTGCCTTACTGAGCCTATCATAAACAAGAATTTCATTAAAACCAGCAACTGTTCAGACAATGGACACCTTGGTCAAGTCTATTTATATCAATGCATAATGTACAGAGTACAGTGGTCAGGAGTAAGTAATAAACAAAACAATACATGGAGTGCAGTAGTTGGCATGCGTGCCACATTCACAGCAGAGTCTCACCTTATATCAGTGTCCCCAGAGTGCCACCACCTTACATTGGAATCCAACAGAGTTCCCCTTACTTCAGAGTCTGGCAGTGTCCCCCCTTACATCAGAGTTTGGCATAGTCCCCCCTTACATCAGAGTCTGGCAGAGTGCCCTTACTTTAAAGTCTGGTAGATTTCCCCCCCACATCAAAGTCTGGCAGAGTGTCCCCCTTACATCAGAGTCTGGCAGAGTGCCCCCCTTACATCAGAGTCCATCAGAGTGCCCCCTTACAGTACATCAAAGTCTGGCAGAGTGATCCCCCCCCTTACATCACCCTCCTTTACATCAGAGTCTGGCAGAGTGCCCAACTTACAAATACCTTCACCAACGGCAGACAGCTGGTGGGAAAAGGCTTACAAAAATAAATTCCCTTGTTGTCAGCTCTGAACTTACATTTACACATTTCCAGAGTAAGCCAATTCATGAACTGCCGGGCCCAGCCTCAACTTGTGCGGTGGAGTGTGTGAATATAAGCCATGCCTAAAAAGTGCCAGATATCACTGCACAGGTGCACACCCAGACCGACCCTACTGCCGATCTGAAGCTGAGTCTAGCAGTTCTCCAATTGGCTGGCTGCGGTACTGTGCATGCACAATTCAGAGCCCATGACAAGGGGATTTTTTTATAGCTACATTTGTCCTGTCCACGAACATTTATGTCCAGGAGAAAAGTGCCTGTTTTATACAAACTGTCTATAAATGTATGGATGGTTGGTGACACGGGGCTGTGGCTGCAGCAGGAATGATATATTCTGTTGCTTTCTGTGGGCACAGTGCCTGATGAACATTATCCATTCAAGTGAATAGAGCACCTCTGCAAGCACCCCAGAACTGCGTGCAATGCATTCAGTTCCAGTGTGCTAGTGTAGGGTTATTAGGGTTAAATCAAGTGGTGAGGAGGTGAAACAACACCTCCTCACTGCCTGCCAAATGCTCTCTGAAGTGTGATCTGAATGCATATCGCTCTTCAGAGACCTACCCCAAATCTCTACCTTTAAAAGCAAAGATCACAACAAATTTTTGATATTTGGCTTTAAAAAAACAAGAAAATTGTTTACTTCCGCCCTAGACTGGAAATGACGTCATGACATCACTCTGTTCCTCCCAGACCATAGAGGTGATCAGAGATGATCTAGAGCAGAGATACATTTTATGAGACAAACTTACTGTAAGATCAGAGTAGGATGAATAAATTCCTTCTTCTAAAAAGTAGCATTGCAATAATATACTGTATATACACCACTTGTGCACACTGGCTTTTCAGATTGGTTCATGTGGAAGTCTGCTCAAAACCAGCCTAAACCTACTGCCTCCCCCATGCTAAGCCCAATGCTAACTACCCTGTAAAGGAAAGAGGTTTATACTTACCTAATGTAAGGGCTCTCTGATCACATGATCTCCCTAGAGGCTTCAGGGGAGAGGAGAGAGCAGCGACAATGGCTGCAGAGCCTGGGTGGGGATGTCACCCATAGACTTAGTATGGGGCATCCATTGTCTGCTGTCCATCCTCTTCACAGAAGCTGGTGCTGGGAGCTGATTATGTGGCTGGACCAGAGCAACCTCAGGTTAGGTAAGTATACACATCTTTCCTTTACAGGGTAGTTAGCATAGGGCTTTAAATGGGGGTGAGAGCAGGTTTAGTTGTGACCAGGCTTCCACATTAAAGTGGAGTTCCAGTCACATTTAAAAAAAATTAAAAAGTCAGCAGCTACAAAAAACTGTAGCTGCTGACTTTTAAAAATAGAGCCACTCACCTGTCCTTCGATCCTACGTTGTCCTTCCCACTGCTGTACGATGTTCCTGGCGCCGGCATCTTCAGTGTTGGCACCCGGCTGTGACAGCTTGTGGCTTCAAAGCCAGGTGTCCACTGCGCATGAGCTAGCAGCTCTGCGCTTTCTGAATGCTCCTGTAGTCTTCCGGGATCTGTCACGTGTTCTAGTTGACTACAGGGAGGGAGGTGCCAAAGGTGCCAATTCTTAATGGGTAGCAGGGGACCAGTATTTAAAGCAGAACTTCCCCTTTTGGGTGGAGCTCCGCTTTAACAACTTGCCGTCCGCCTGCTGTTTATAAACGGCAGGGCGGCAGCACTCCAGGGGCGGGTTGCCGTTCATAAACGGCACCCACCTTTTCTAGCTGTGCGCGCTCCCTGGGAGCGCGCAGCACCGTGATCCGGTGCCCGCTGTGTCCTCCGGACACAGTGAAACACCAATCGTCGGACGGGACCTCTGTACGAGGTCCTGATCATGTGATCACTGATTGATCACTGTAAAAAAAAAAAAAAAAAATCTTCATCACCCCCCACAAGTATTACAGTGTCACCATGGTGACACTGTACTGCTAGGGTGACAGTGTGTAAAAAACAAACAAAAAAAAAAAAACCCCATAAATAATAATTTAAAAAAATAAAATAAAAATGTAAAAAAATGTTTAAAAATGATCATTTTTGGTTATAAACTAATTTGGCTTATTTTTTTTTTTACTAAAAATAAACGGAATACATTTTGGTCAAGATTTATGATGAAAGATTATTTATTTGCAAAATTTTATAAGAAAAACACTTTTTTTCAAAATTTTTGGACTTTTTCATTTACATAGCAAAAAAAAATAAAAATCCCAGCGGTGAATAAATACCACCAAAATAAAGCTTTATCTGTCTCAAAAAAAATGGTAAAAAATTTCATATGGGTACAGTATTGCATGACCGCGCAATTGTCATTCAAAGTGTGATAGCGCTGAAAGCGGAAATTTGCCCTGGACAGGAAGGGGGTAAAAGTGTCCGGACCGGAAGTGGTTATGATCTATGTAAGATCAGTTTACAGACCAAGAAGATGAACAGAGGGTTTTGATTCAAATAGGGTGTCAGTCCTTCAAAATGTAGGACAATTAGGCTAGGTTCACATATGTGAGGGTGGGGCCGCTGCGGGTCCGCACAAAAATCCGTGCAGCCGCACCACCCACACAGAGGAATGCGGACCCGTGGGCGGTTGCTATTTATTCTAATGGCATGCCGCCTGCACTGGAAATTGCAACCATACTGGGAACCTCGGTTCCCGTGTGGGCTGCGTTTTCCAAAGAAGTGCAGGGACTTCTTCCCTGCGTGTCCCGGTGCACTGGAGTCAATTCAAATAAATGTTCTCTCGTGTCCACGCAAAACGCGGCCCGTACGGCTGCAGATATGTGAACCAGGGGTAAGGACCCACATGGAAGAAAAATATATTTTAAAAATATTCTTCCCAAATATATTAACATATATTTGAAATACTACAATTTTGGCCTTATTCTATATATTTCAATATTTAAAATATATTTTTCTTCCATTTGGGGAGCTATGGCAATTTCTTGCAGCTGCAGAATCACTCTCATTAGTGTCTTTGTTGCTAGGAAAAAAAAATGAATTGTAGTAAATGAAAGTTCTGGTTTTCGGAAATTCCAAGCAACTAAGCAACTGACTTTTTGCAGCCTTTGGAACTAGCTACAGAAAACTCAGCCTAAGAAACTAATCATGTTCTCCAATGCGGCTGCTGATGATCATGGCACACCAGAGATTTGTAGCTGCCTAGGTAAGCATTGCACTCAGCTAGGACAGCAACTCTGTATCTAGCTACTAACTGCCAGAGAAAATAAGCAGAAAGACTGGTGGCTGACTAAAAATCATAGTATGAGCCAGCCCTCAGTATTGCAGATGTCAAAGGTATACAAGGCACATAAAGGCTGGGTGCAGAAAGACTAAAGGACTCATTTATAACAGATATCAGATATCATGATTGACTCTCCATTATACACCACTGCATTGCACACACTGTCACCCATCCCATATATTAAAATTGAGTCTTAGCATGTAACCGGCAAAGCCTATAGAGCAAGGGTGTCAAACTGGCAGCCCTCCAGCTGTTGCAAAACTACAAGTCCCATCATGCCTCTACCTTTGGGAGTCATGCTTGTAACTGTCAGTCTTGCAATGCCTAATGGGACTTGTAGTTTGGCAACAGCTGGAGGGCCACCAGTTTGACACCTGTGCTATAGAGCAGGGCTTGAAATTTTCACTCGCCTGCTTGCCAATGGCGAGTGGAAATTATGGTGGGGGGGCGAGTGAGTCCCCCAGGGCCGTCTTGCTGAGCAGGTTCGGAGCTCAGGCAGGATCTGTCATTGGCACTGGGAGCCGTCAGACTGCGCAACAGCTGAGATCAGTGAAAGCAAAGGAAGGAGTGCGTGCTTTGCCCTCTGCCTCCCCCTAGAGTGCAGTACCCGGATCTGTGAGTGAACAACAAAGTACTGCAACTTTTTATGGGGGGGGGGGGGTGTGTGTGTACATGTACATGTGTGTGTGTCTGTGTATGCATGTACAATTGTACATGTGTCTGTGTGTATGTACATGTGTGTATCTGTACATGTATCTGCATGCATGTACATGTGTGTGTGTACATGTGTCTGTGTGTGTACATGTGTGTGTATGTACGTGTGTGTGTGTGTGTATGTATGTACATGTGTCTGTGTATATGTACATGTGTCTGTGCATGTGTATTTCTGTGTATATACTGTACATGTATCTGTGTGTATGCGTGTCTGTACATGCCTGTGTGTGTCTACATGTGTCTCTGTGCATGTGTGTACATGTTTCTGTGTGTGTATGTACATGTATCTGTGTGTATGCATGTCTGTACATGCTGGTGTGTGTATACATGTGTCTGTATGTGTGTGTACATGTGTCTCTGTGCGTGCGTGTGTGTACATATTTCTGTGTGTGTAAGTGTGTGTGTGTGTGTATGTACATGTCTGTGTGTGTACAGGTGTCTGTTTGTGTGTGTTTGTTGGTGGCGAGTAACTCTAAGGACTGGCTAGTAGCTCAGGACTTGAAATTTTAAGCCATGCTATAGAGTATGACCTTTCAAAGTCACATGACCAAGCTCTCCTCCCAGATTTTTTTTCTTCAGTGTGCTCCTCCAGATTCTGAGTCCCTATGCCAGCAGCCAGTTTTCTAATGGCTAGTGGGGTCAAATTGGCATTCACTTTTGACAGCAGAAATTTGAGCAGGATTCAAATTTTTTCTCAAATGACCAAATTTCTAATGTGGTTTTCTTTCAGAAAATTACATTCATTCTGAAGAACATTAAAAGAAAACAAAATTTGAAGTACTTTAAGACAACATTCGTCAAATCATCAATTGCACACAGAATGTTCGTACAAATATATGTATTAATATTCATTCTAATGTTTGTTTGAAAATCTACAAATGTATGGCAAGATTAAGTACATCTAGAACAAATGAAGAGTAAGCAAAATGTCACACTTTGGTTCAGTTCTAGGTGTATAGGCACAAACTGTTCCGGGACAGCAGCAATGAGGACAGACATGGAAAGACATGTGCAATTCGTTTCGGTCTGAAATTAAATTTGGACAAATTTTTGGTTAATCGAAGATTTGGATTTATCCATATTTCCAAATAACAATAATAACACATTCCCTTACAATTCATTTAGTTTTGCTTAATTTTTTAACAAATTCCAGATTTTCAGAACAATTTGAATTCAAATCAGTTGGAAGGTTATCGACCAATCCGGATTTTGTGTTAAAATTAGCTGGTTGATAACGGAAGTCAGTTACAGCGTCCTTAACAACTGGTGACTCCTCAGTTGTCAGTGGGTTTTCCCACTGACAGCTGAATGTAAACAAAAGAATGCCAGCAATAAAAAAAATGAAGAAAAAAAAAAACAGCATTGGGGTCCCCCCATCCATACCAGGCCAAAATGAAAAAAAAAACAACATGCAGCCCCCCAATCAATACCAGACCCTGATCTAAGCATGCAGCCCAGCAGGTCAGGAAAGGTGAGGGGGATGAAAGAGTATGGGGCAAATGACTCCGCCCCTTTGTGGCGTTAACAACCCAGCATGCCCCTGGTTGATGATGTCATTATGGGGCAGGGTCATCCGGAGATGTCACCTGGTGGGCCCACCCCTTAGTTTTTTAAGATCTGTCAGACAAAGGTAGCCTTCATTAGGCACAGAGCTTTTTTTTTGCCAGCCAAAGTTCATCATGATTGATGTTGGATCTATTTTTTTTGTTTGTTTTTTGTTAACCACTTGCCCTCCTAAGGATTTACCCCCTTTCCTGACCAGGCCATTTTTTGCGTTACGATGCTGCATTACTTTAACTGACAATTGCCCAGTCTTGCAATTCCAAATGATTTTTACGTCCTTTTTTTTCCCACGATTTGAGCTTTCTTTCGGTGGTATTTGATCCCCTCTGTGTTTTTAATTTTTTCGCTATAAAAAAACAGACCAACAATTTTGTGAAAAAAAAACAATATTTTTGACTTTTTGCTATTAAACATGTCCAGTAAAAAAATTTGAAAAATCAAATTACGTCATAAATATAGGCCAAAATGTAAGTCTTTGCTAAAAAAAAAATGAAAATGTAAATTAAATGCTTTGCGTGAAAGTTTTATCATTTACAAATGGCAGTATAGATACTGGAATTTTTTTTCTTTAATTTTTCTTTTTACTAGTAATAGCGGCGATCAGTGACTTATAGTGGGACTGCGGGACTGCGGCGTGCATTCTGACACTGGGGGAAACTGCCTTGGTGTCACTGATAAAAAAAAAAGCACTGACACTGTACTAATGGCACTGGGCAGAAAGGGGTTAACATGAGGGGTGATCAAAGGGTTAACTGTATGCTGTGTACTTTGGGCTCTGTGTCTGTGCTTCACTGTAATCACACTGCTTTGCATGACTGTGCTGTGCACAGCCATGCAAATCAGTGTGCACTAGCTGACAGGGAGGAGAACTGTATTGTTTACATACAGTTCTCCTCCCCGTCGGAGATCCTCGGCAATCACCGGGCGTTGGCGAGTAATCACCGGCCGGGACCCAGTGATTGACAGCCTTGGCTGCGAATGGCGCGCCCCCTACCCCGGAAATGCAAAATCATGTGTATATATATATGTGGTTTTGCACACCCATGCTGTCCTGTAGTAGTATATCTGAAGCTGTTAAGGGACTTGTCAAAAACTTGTGTTTTTACTCACTTTTTACACTTTTTTGGTGAATGATAGATCTGGGAGCCCCCTAGTTAAAGGGAGCTTCCAAATTCTGATAAGCCCCCTGCCCACAGACCCCTACAACCACCGCCCAGAGTAGTGAGGAAGAGGCCCTTGTCCCTATCAATATTGAGACAAGGTACTTTGAAGGGGAACCCCCTACCCCACAGCACCCCTCCATGTTGAGGGAATGTGGCCTGGTATGGTTCGCCCCCCCTCCTCCATTTCCTGATCTGCCAGGCTGCATGCTCAGATAAGGGTCTGGTATGGATTCTTTGGGGGGGCATCACGCCATTTTTTAATTTTAGCGTAGGGTTTCCCTAAAATCCATACCATGGATGGGGGGACCCCACATTTTTTTTTTGGTTTTTCATTGCCATCATTCTTTTGTTTACATGCAGCTGTCAGTGGGGAAACCCATTGACAGCTGATGAGTCATCGATTGTTAAGGACGTGGAGGCCAGCTTCCTGACCCACCTCTTAACAACCTGCTATTCTTTACACAGAATTTGGATCGGTCAATAAATTTTCGACCAATTCGAATAGTTCTGAATCCATGAAACAAAATTAATACCAAACATACCAAATTTATTTGAAATGACACTAAACAAAATGTTACCATTCTGCACATGTCTAGACATGGATGACACTGGAGGCAAGAAAACAGTCTGGAGCCTTATTATCATACTGGATATCTGTACTGATATGGACTGGGTAATTTGTTAGGAACGTAAGGATGCCCCATCGTTTGATGGAAATGAAAATGATCAACCTACAGAGGACTGAATTCAAAGGCACCCTGAAAATTAAATTGAAAAAATAATGCAGCAGCCTAGTCCATTTTGCTGAAATTTCATTGCAGCAACTCAAAATGGTCCTCAGTAGTTTGTATGGCCCCCCACGTGCTTGTATGCATGCTTGACAACGTCGGGGCATGCTCCTAGTGAGATGACGAATGGTATCCTGGGGTATTCTTTCCCAGATCTGGACCAGGGCATCACTGAGCTCCTGGACAGTCTGACGTGCAACCTGGTGGCGTCGGATGGACCAAAACATGATATCCCAGAGGTGTTCTATTGGAATTAGCCATTCAATGGTATCAATTTCTTCATCCTTCAGGAACTGCCTGCTTACTTTCGCCACATGAGTCCTGGGCATTGTCGTGCACCAGGAGGAACCCAGGACCCACTGCATCAGCGAAGGGTCTGACAATGTGTCCAAGGATTTCATTCCGATACCTAATGGCAGTCAGGGTGCCATTGTCTAGCTTGTAGAGGTCTGTGCATCCCTCCATGGATATGCCTCCCCAGACCATCACTGACTCACCACCAAAACGGTCATGTTGAATGATGTTACAGGCACCATAACATTCTCCACGGCTTCTCCAGACCCCTTCACATTTGTTACATGTGCTCCGGGTGAACCTGCTCTCATCTGTGAAAAGCACAGGGCGCCAGTGGCAGACCTGTCAATTCTGATGTTCAATGGCAAATGCCAATTGACCCCTATGGTGCCAGGCAGTGAGCACAGGGCCCACTAGAGGATGTCGGGCCCTCAAGCCACCCTCATGAAGTCTGTTTGTTTGGTCAGAGACATTCACACCAGTGGTCTACTGGAGGTAATTTTGTAGGGCTCTGGCAGTGCTCCTCCTGTTCCTCCTTACACAAAGGAGCAGATACCAGTCCTTCTGATGGGTTAAGGACCTTTTTATGACCTTGTCCAGCTCTCCTAGAATAACTGCCTGTCTCCTGGAATCTCCTCCATGCTCTTGAGACTGTGCTGGGAGACACAGCAAGCCTTCTGGCAATGGCACATTTTTCACTTCTATGGGTCTAGCACTATCATATACACATCCAAGACCTGTAATCAATTAGAGGCAGTCTGCTTTGTGTTGATCATACAACAGAATCTTGTGTTTACTTATTGGGGAAATCTACTTCATTATACAATATCATATCTCATTTCAAAATCCATTTCAAAATCTAAAAAGAATGTGTTTTAGACCATCTCTGATATCAACTCTGATATCATCCTATCAGTCACACCATCCATCAAAGAAATCCATTACAATCAATATCACTTTCTTCATATTATAATGACATTCTTCTGTCATTAAACAAGAAAACTACAACTTAACCCCTATTAATACACCCATTTATCATAATAAATCCAATAGTTGTTTCACTGTCATAGCTGTGCTTACTCCACATTTTATTTAGATGTATTTCATTAACTTTATGACATACGTTTCCCAACAAACCAAATACTAATCTTCCATCTATTACTGCTTTAGCAATCATGATAAAAGCCACACATTTATTTATTTCAGGTACTTATATAGCACCATCAATTTATGCAGCGCTTCACATATATATTGTACATTCACATCAGTCCCTAACCCTCAAGGGGCATACAATCTAAGGTCCCTAACTCACATTCATACATACACATACTAGGGACAATTTAG